CTGTGTGGCCGTGCTATGCGGGCCTCACTCCTGGGCTCGTGCCTTTCTGAGCCTAGTTCCCGAGGATGGGCACTAGGCCCACGTCCCAAAGTAGATTACCTTTCCTTTGCCTGTTGGTTTTCGGCACCGGAGTGCAGCTTCATCTGTGCCAGCAAATGATATTTTCTATGGCCCTTCCAAATGCATGGTGGCAAGTGGCAAATAGTAAATGCCACGGGGTAGAGTATCTGGTGACAAGGCAAATGTCACTGACCTATCATGGAAGTATCCTTCCACTCAACTGGGATATTAAAGGCATTCAGGAATTTGGCAAACTCTGATTGGGCCGGAAGGCTCTTTATTTAAAGCTTTTGCTTTATTTGCTTAAATACAAGGGGCAGTGTCCCTTTCCAGTCCCCACATGAGGCCCTCCAGGATCTTATCAAACACCAGCAGCATTGGTTCTGAACTCAGAACGGTAGGTTCACTGAGTTGTACTTTGGTTTTTTATGGCAGTCTTCTCCCTCTCAATCACTAGTTTTATCCTCGATTCATGTAAGATCAGATCCCATAACTCCCTTTCATCTTTGGGGTGAATAAAACTTGATCCAAAAACCTTCTTTTAAAAAAAAAACCAAGATCCAGAAATGCTCTTATTGAATTATCAAAGTGCTGGTTCGTTTTAATTCTCCTTGTTGGAGAAAGTTTTGTATCTTGAGTTCGAACCATACAAAGGGGTGCTTATTCTCCTCTTTCTTCATCGGCAATCAATACTTTGGATCTAGGCCTGTACCTGTACATTGACTACTTTTCTTGTCGTGAAAGGTGTTGATGAAATGCTTTCTGAACAATTGATTATCATCAATCTCTTGCAATCAAAATCAGCAGTGCCTGAAAGAAACGACATCTCTCTCTCTCTCTCGCAATGAGCATAAAGTAATTTGGTGTGTGTTTATAAATATGAAAATTAGGATCACGCTAATCTTGATAAATTCATTAAAATATCACCATGAGCATATTTTAATACTAATAATGTGTTTTTGGCAGGTCCCGGTAACTAGTTTATTTAAAGTACAAACAGGTACACCGACATGCGCCTTCTTGCCTTATTGGGCATCTCAAAAAGCAGTATAATATTATAATAATTCGCTGATGTTTAGTCCTTTTTAGCGCCAGTTTGTTTTTTTATTTCCCGAATATATCTTAAAAGTATCAATTTAAAATATTTTTTTTTAATGTTAGTACTGGTATTAGTTATTAAAAAAATATTTTAATATATTTTTAAATAAAATATATTATTAAAAAATATTCTACAGCAAGCGGTGTATTTTTACTTCCAGCACGTATGCATATATCCCAACCATTACCGGATGCCCAAAAGCTTGTTTATTTGGATGAAATAGTTATGTCAGGCATGCTTTTTATTTTTCGAGTCTAGTTAATAATATGCTATTCATGTCATGTTTCTAACAATGTATTATAATCTTTTGATGGTTAAGCAAATCCTCTCAAATTAATTTAAATTAAATAATAAATCCAAGTCCAATCTCAATAATTATTATATTATAGCAACAAGTGATTAGTTCATCTAAAATGTATTTAATTGTATAGACAAAGATAAATATAATTTTTTGTCTCTGTCTTGTGGACAATTCTAATTCTGCGAATTGCATTAATTCCAATTTTAATTTACCAGCATCTTAATTTGAGCTGCGGATCCTCCTCTGGAGATTGAAATACCCACATTAATAGCAGCCCGATTCTAGCATTGAATAGATGGACGAATAAGAATATTTGTCTGTCTATAATAAAAATTATATTAGTAGAAATATAAGCCACAACGTCTCCCGATTGAATCTCAATTATTGGTGTACGACCAAATGTATAAACAATATGTATGGGATTAGCTATTTCAATGGGATCTTTTATCCTGGTAGGAGGAAAAATTACCTGTTTATCTTTGATGCAAGAGCGCTTGATCAATAAGCTATTACGCACTCTTTTAAGGGTGGCTGCTTCTAGACAAACTTTCTGGCTATCTCTACACCCCTACCTCCTTTATCATTGAGCGGTTATTTAGGTGCCTTAACTAGTGATCTAGGTTGCTTCCTTCTCGATAATGAAACTTATCTCCCATCGTCTCGTTGGCCGACCTTGACTCTTGTTATTTTGAAATCATATTTAGTATTTAGAATTTATCTTGATTTAATACCGCTCTCATTGTCTGTATCAAAACAATATTTTACCCTTAAATGTTCAATCAACGAACTATTTTTAACCAATTCCATGTCCATCTAAACGGGAGGGGATATAGACAGAAATAGTCTAGGTTAATTTTTTTCCTCATAAATATCCATTTAAATATTTCATAATTCCAATTGTGTTTTTTGCATTTAGATCTGGATCATTGAATTTAATTAGCTTAATTCCCCTAGTTAATTTGAAAACTTAAAAAAATATATATAAAAAAAAGATAGAGAAGATATCAACCTAGTTGAACCTAGCCAAAATACCAAACAAGATCATTGTCAAATAAAATCTCTTGTTATAAAGTGCTTGTAAACATGGAACCTGGAGAACTTTATTGGCATAGGTGAGAGATAGGTAGATTTGAATTTTTAGATCTAAAATATTTAAAATTAAATTTGTGTGTTGATTATTTGTTTAAAAATAATTTTTAATGTGTTGGTTTATATATATAATTTACTTATTATTAAAACTATGTTTTAGCGGATCGTGTATTTTTCCATATCTTAATTTTTAAAAAATTAATTTTCTTAGTAGTTTTGTGTTTTCATTTCATTAAATTAAGGTGAGAAAATAAATGGTTCAAATTAAAAAAAATTATATAAGTTGATAATTCAAAACAAATAACAAAATGAATGAACAATCGTCATTATTTTTATGGATTGAACAGAATTAATTAACCTAATAATCGTTCATATTAAAAGCATAAGATACAGGTTTTTAACACTGTGAAAGGGAATGATATCATTATTGAAGAATTAATCTAACAATTAGAATATAGATAATAAAGAAAAAATGAAAATTAGTCATGTTCTCAAAGAAATAAAAACAACGAAGACGCTGTGCATGTGATCTTTGAATTCTCACAGAACCCTCAATCCTAGAGAAGTTTTTAGAGATTGAATGATAATACAAATTATGCATCCATGATAAAATTAATATCTCATATTCTCAATTACATTAGGTTTTAACTAATGTATATTTCATGATAATAAAAATTAGGTTTTAACTTACGCTGCTGAAAATATTTTATTTGACGTATGATTGATTTAATTATTTATTCTGTCATTTAGTATATTTCAAGAAATGATTTAATGACTAGGTAAAATATAATTCAATTATATTATTTTCCTGGCCATGAAATATAATTTCTACCGTTATTATAACTTTTTTAAACGTGATTTTGATAAGGGGAGAAGTTACCATTTTAAGCTAATTAAAAAAATAATGCTCACTCCTTCATCTCAGCTTGCGAGGGAAAGACGGCGATAGCGAGAATGAAAAAGAATGATATTTATTTATTATTTTAATTATATCATGTTTGATGATAATAAATATTTATACACTTTACTCCATCATATTCCTCGTCAACCAAATAAAATACAAAAATAATTATATATTCTATCTTATTCAGCACTATCAAATACAACTTTCTCTTTATTTTATATTTCATCTTATCTCATTTATTCCGTTTATGTCTTCAAATAATAATCAAAAAGTACTCTGAAGAGGCAAAACAACAGGATTTTTTTCTTCTTCTAGTCACAGTTCTTGAGAGAGAGGGGGCGGGGGGTTGGTAACTTGGTGCACTTACCGACTTACGATGTAACAGAACTTTTAAAATCGGTTTAGCCAAGTTCCAGCCGTGTTTATAATGGCTAACGATTATGCAATCCACCAAATAAAGCCGACAGATTAGCCAAATAGATTAGATGATATTAGTATGTAATTTAAATTTTAAATTTAAATAATAAAGTGAGCCCTCGTGAAGTTTTTTTTGTTATATTAATTTTTTTTTATTTTTTTCTTAAAATTTGTTAGTTAAGTTATTTTTAAATCAGCTAAATTGACTAATTTATATTAATAAAATTATTTATAATTTAATTTTAAATTTAAGTTAAATAAAAAATTAAATTGATTTTTTTTATTTTTTTAATTATATAATTATATTATTTTTATTAGTCGACCAAGTTATTTTTAGATCAATTATAATAATCAAATCATGTTAAAAAAAATTTATATAATTTAATTTTTAATTCAGATTAAATAAAAAATTTAATGAAGTTTTATTATAATACCAAATAACCTGGATATATTCATGTTATGTTTTTTTTTAAAAAAAAAAACACCTAGACAAATTGCTTCCATTCCACTGAAACTTGGAGCTGAAGTCTGTACAGAAACAAAATTTCCGATTCAGACCAAAACGTCATGCGATATTTTCTACTGTTTAGGATATTTGTACTTTCTAATTCTACCCTGCGCGCTTCCCTGTCCTTCGTCCTGTAACCAAATCACAAGACTTCGAGTATTTTTTTTTTTTAACGTGTTATTCCGTTTAGTTTATATATGATTGATTTTTTGAGTTATTGAAATTAATAATTATATAATTTTTTAATAATTTTGAGATTTTGACAACATTTAATTAATATTTTTTATGAACAAATTAACTTAAAATTTAACTAGTTACTACATCTCTCTATATTGACTTTGAGCATATTTAATATTACAAAGTAATGGGTGCTTTTAAAGTTTTATTTTAAAAAAATTATTTTTAATATTTATAAAATAATTTAAAAATATATATATATAATTAATTTGAGAAAAATAAAAAAAGTTCAAGAAAAGCCTTTTGAAACGTCAAAATAAATCATTAAAATAGTATTTGATTTTTTTAACGTATTAAATTAAATGTATTAAAAAAGTTAATTTGAAAAAAAATTGTTTTTAATTTTTTAAAAAACAAAAACAAGCCCTTCGACTTTGCATTTAACAAACTCACTGCTCTATAAGTAATTAACTACCAAATAAATCTAATCAAAATCAAGACATTAATTTTTACATGCTAAAACACCATTTGGGTTGTTGAGGAAAACCAGTTAACGGTTTCAGTTTACACTTCTCCTTTTTTTTCCCCTCCCACAATCAAAGAGAATTTGCCTCTCTCTGAAACCAAATGGTGAAGGAAATGAGGTCTGTTGTGAACCCATTTTCAGCCCCTAAACACAATAATGTCATTATAAAGTTCGCAGTCTCATTTCTCTTGGTTGGTCTTGCTTTCCATTTATTAATCTCTGATTCATTCAGATTCTCTTCAGTTGTTGAGACACCAGTACCAGCTAATGAAGAGACTGAACCAGAGTCTTTAGTGGCTTCTTTGCCTGCTGAAGAGCCAGTATCTAATGATTTCGCAGCTAATGAAAGCCAAACTTCACAGCCAGGTATCCAAATTTTGTTTCCTTTTCTTTTTCTATACATGCCTGAATATGAAAGTGATAATCCGGATGAGGAATCGGTTTAATTACAAGAAAGATTTGTAAAAATGAGGATATGGGTTTTCTTGGCCGTGAAAACTGGATTCAAGATTGTCTTAATTCTTCTACTCTCTTTCTTTCATTTGCATTTTCTGAATATTTGAAGATTGGACCAAACACTTTTTTGGTAATTGTCTTTTGTGCATTTGTTTATTCTTTACTGTCCCGAGTTCTTTTATCTCGTCTTGTCCAGTTCTTGAGAGTTGGTCAATGCAGTCATACCACTCACCATTTAAGTCAAGTACCACTTGGCAGTTTCTTTTCTTTTTCTTTTTGGGTACTAGTTGTCTGGTTTTACTTTTGGAATCTAATCTAAATCTGAATAATGCAAACGAGTGTCGCGAATTCTGCACTCTGCACTACACCGATTGAACCTATTTTTTTTTTCATTTAAAAGGCATGTGCTCCCGTTTCGTAGAATTATGTTTTCTGTCTAGTCTTTGTATTAGCATTCATATTCAGTTAATACTCCTACTAGTGTAGTGATGATTTTCCACGCATGTAGTTGCAGGAAAGTGCGATTTGTTTGTTGGAGATTGGATACGTGACCCTTCGGGTCCGTTTTACACAAATCAGAGTTGCCTTCAAATTGAAGGTCATCAAAACTGCATGAAAAATGGAAGACCTGATTCAGGGTACCTCCACTGGAGGTGGAATCCACGGGGCTGCAGTCTCCCCAGGTTTAATCCTAAAAAATTTCTTCGCCTGATGAGGAATAAATCATGGGCCTTTATTGGTGATTCCATTTCTCGTAACCATGTCCAGTCATTGCTTTGCACTCTCTCTCAGGTAAAAACCATGAGCTTAAAGAAAATTTCTCTGTCCTTAGCCTTTGGATTTCTCGATTTACTGTCAATAATCAAACACTTGTTTGACCAGGTTCTTCAACCATTGGTACTTGGCTAGAAATAATTTCTTGGTTAGGTGCATTGATTATTTAATTGTGCTAAATTGATATCTGAAGCACTTTAGATCATCAATACGTGTCTCGTGCTGTCTCTCTCATTGAAAACTGATCTAGTCCAGAGAGTTGGAGTAGAAGCTAAGTTTAATTAATCTAGAATAATTGATATACATTAGCCACCTTCGCATGTGAAAATAGAATTGCTGACTAGGCATTGAGCTGAGGTGGTGGGGGTTTGAGGTTCTTATGACTAAAGACACTATGCCTCCTTTTCAAAAGCACATAGAGGCCTCTAATTTTCCACATCACTGCTGTAAATATTTCTGCAGTGATCATGGGACAGGGTTCTGATTTCCCATGAATTACTGTCGAAAATTGGGGTTTTATATCTAAGGGCTTTTGTTGTCTTCTTTGCCAGCTTGAATTTGGCTGTTTCTTTTCTTTATCCTCGTGATGCTAGATCATATAGATGTTGATGTTCTCTTTATCCTCATGATGCTAGATCATATAGATGTTGATGTTCGAACATCAATCTTAATCTATTGTGGAGTACAGCTGCTGCTTTAATGGTTAGAGCACAGCTTTTAAGAGGTTATCCAGTCCTTTTCTGAGATGGTTTACCAACAATACATGCGAAGGATTTCGATTGTCATCTTGAATCTTCATGTCCACTCAGGACACTGAACTATTGTCAAGCACACACAAGAATTCTTGTTGGCTAGTCTATGTGATTATTTGGCATCAATAATTGGCAACTGTTAGTAGTTTTATTGGCCAACATGCTAAAACAAAATTTGAACCCATTGATCCAACAAAATCTTGCACTGAATAAAATATACATGATCGTAAATGATTTTTTGTTTGGCCTCATCTTTCTTGTTCGGAATGATATGTTTGATTATCTAGAAAAGGAATAAAAATAGAAGGGACTAGGAGATCCAACAGAGAACTGATCTGCCATGCAAAGAGTAAGGATGCGTTCATGGTTTTTTTTTTTTTTATGATTTTGTGCAGCAGCATTATATTCTGTTGGGAATTTTTGAAATTTGGTTCCATAGGCAATAATTGATCGATTTATTGTTATTTATGTCCAATAGGTGGAGCAAGCTGTTGAGGTCTACCACGATGAGGAATACAGATCGAAAATATGGCGCTTTCCATCTCACAACTTCACACTTTCAGTGATTTGGACCCCGTTCCTTATCAAAGCAGATATTTTTGAAGACATGAATGGAATTTCCTCTTCAGAAATCCAGCTTCATCTAGATAAACTTGATAAAAAATGGACCGATCAATATAGGAATCTTGATTATGCAATAATTGCTGGAGGGAAATGGTTCCTGAAAACTGCCATATACCATGAGAACAATGTGGTTACAGGCTGCCATTACTGCCCTGGAAAGAAATTGACTGAGCTAGGGTTTGAATATGCATATCGCAAAGCAATGCAGCTGATTTTGAACTTCATTACAAACTCTGGTCATAAAGCTCTTGCTTTCTTTCGAACGACTACGCCAGACCACTTCGAGAATGGAGAATGGTTTAGTGGGGGCACTTGCAATAGAAAGGTACCCTTCAAAGAAGATGAGGTTAATATGGCCGATGTAGACACAATAATGCATAATATTGAACTGGAAGAATTCGAGAAGGCTACAGCATTGGGGCCTGAAAAAGGGGTGGCTTTGAAACTTCTGGATACGACTCGATTATCATTGTTGAGACCAGATGGGCACCCAGGACCATACAGGCAGTTTCAGCCATTTGCTGAGGATAAGAATGCTAAAGTTCAGAATGATTGCTTACATTGGTGCTTGCCTGGGCCAATAGACTCTTGGAATGATTTGGTGATGGAGATGATAGTCAATGGTGGAATATATTAATGACAGATATTTGCTAGGCTCAGCTATTCCATGATTTTTCTTGACAAGCTTCGCTGAATAAGATTTCGATGATTGAATGAAGTGGGTATCGGTATTGGATAAAAATAAACAGCTGATTTTCCTTGGGTTGTGCCTACCTTACCTTACTGGGGATGCCATTACCCTGCCTGTGTACACCTGTTGGGTTGGATTTTGTAAATCAAGAACCTATTCTGTGATACACTTTGAATTTACGGTCGTTCTTTCGTAGAAAACCTACACTGTTCTTTGTTTTGGGTCCAACAGGACCAGCACAGCTTTTCAGTTGTAATCATATGCACCCTCAAAATATAATAATAATATTAACATATAGCACATTTGCCATTTGATTTGGTGCCTTAACACAGAAGGATGTTTTTCATGCTATGATGCATTTCTCATGTTATTCGATGCATAAATGCTAACGATTAGAGAACAGAATAACTAAGAGTTAATCACCAGCCACAAGCTGCCGCATCAGGTAGCAAAACAAAGCTAGTAAACGCATCATCAGTTAGTAAAAGTGTTAGCATCTACTTGAAACCACAATAGCATTGATAAAATACCCTGCGGTTGAACCAGTCATCCGAGGAGGTCAATTCAAATCCACTTTTTTTTTTGGAGAGCAACGAAAACACAAGCTTGCCAGATGAATTTAGTTGCCCTTGCCACAAGCCCATTGGCGGGTCGCATTCGACTTACCCAAGCATTTCCAAGGTTCAACTATGTCTACATTATAAAGGCTCTCCCTGGAACTTGACGGAGGCAACGCGATTGTTGAGCAAAAAGGAAATGAAACAGCTTGTCCAGTTGAAATCAGCTCAGCCAATGTATACAACATATTACACGGTACAAAATTGTAAGACCATGTTTTTATCAACAAACAGTGATAGCTTTTTGACTCCTAAATTCTAACCCTTCAATAGCAAATAAAATAACATGTAAAGTTGCAAGTTAATATACTTGAGGGAAAATCCAGACGTTGCCGCTTCTCTTGAATGGCAAAGGGCAAAGGCCAAATCTTCATCATAGGATATGCCTACAACTCTTTCACCATTCATTGTGCCAATGGAATTCTATGGCTAACAGCACAGAGCATTTAAAAAAGATACCACTGAATTGCCTAATTATGTTAGTTTTTTACTTAAAAAATCAATATAACTTAGTTTCTTTGACCAAACTCTTTGGCTTCTGGTTACATGTATGGACAAACAATGCAATTTATCAGGAAAAAATGTAGAAACTAAATCTGAGCTGGTATTTTACATAAAGAAAAACAGAACATGAAAGAAAGAAAAGCATTATGTTTACCAAAAATTCATAAGCACAGTCACATTTCATGTGAAATTCACAGCAAGTGAGTTGTGGCAGCTGCAGCCTTTCGCTTACTTCTTGTGACAAGAATTAACAAAACAATTATTGAAAAAACTTCACAGCAATCATCATAAACCAAAGCAAGCAGTTGAATTATGCTTTCTTTTGGAAGACTCCATATGAGATTTAAAGCCAAAAGAACTTAGTGTTTGAACTATTAAGAAACAACTAAAACAGTTACTCAAATGTTGATTTAAAATCTCCACATTATTATTCAGCTAAAACGCATCTCTCTCATAGCAGCTTTGGAAGATCCATTGTAATAAAAAGAACACAAACTTCCACCAAAGATTACAATGCATTCGTGACACATTTCACCTCCATTCTATTTGGTCAATGGTGTTGAGTCCTGCTTCTTCTGCTCTGGTTTAAGATATGGATTCTGAAAATTTCAAACATATAGCAAGGTATTAGACAATTCATAATTACTCACAACTAAAACACAACAATTTCCAGCTAAAGGAACATGTCCAAAAAAGATATTCAAGAGTGGGCTGTAAAAATAGACTTCCAAGCATGTTCAATCACATCACGCATGCAAATCCTAAATTATGAGACGACAAAATCTTCATGGAAAAAAAATGTAGCTGGAACACACTGCTTTCCCAGCTTCATATTGCTAAGTGTTTCCGATGAAAATGACACCACTCGTATCTAATATCTGTTTTCATAAGATCTACAGTTGAGGTGTTTGGGGTAGTATAAGTGATCAAGGGGTGGTAACTCATATCATGGGAGGAAATCATGCGCAGATGGAATCACCTGAAGATGATTTTCGGCTGACATTAAATGGATAGTTAAGATTTCTACAGTTTGGTAATAATAATGTTTAAATTCCAGGGTATTTGCAAAAACAGCTATACGAAATATATAATCAGAACCAATAATGACAAAGATCAGGAACAAAAACTTGGATTGATTAGTAACCAGTTGATTTTTTTCTTTACTTTCTTGGTCATCAATTTGTCACCATAGAAAATTAAGAAGAAGAAAAAGAACACTAAAAAGATTCGTTTCTTCTTTCTGATTTGAGCGTAACAACATATATTGGAAGATAAATTACTCGATCAGATTTTTAAAAAAATAAAAATATAATTGAAATATAATAAACTTTCATAGCGACAAAAACTGAAATGGAAAAACTAGGGTTAAGACTTTACTTCGAAGAAAAGGACGCGAACTGCGACAGCAGTGCCCATGATCCCGCCCAAGATTACCATTGGCCCTGTTAGCAGACTCCATTTACGGTATATCATCTTTTCCTCTCCGATTTCAGTTTATTCTCTTCCTTCAATCCACAGAGACCTCGCCTACTTCACATCTACAATTGTTTGCCTCTCTTCGATTTGGGGGGGGTGGGGGAACGGGACCTCCTGGATTTTTAGCTGGGCCTGTTAATATATTGGGCTCCAGTAGGCTTTTGTTATGTCGGTTCATTTTGCACACGAGTTTCTCAGTTCTTCTAGCTGTCAGATTGGGCTTCTCGATTGTTATTCCGATGGATAAATTTTATGCTCCCTTCGTCCTAAAAACAAATATCCAAAATTATTTTCCTACAATAATTCTAATTAAAACCCTTTTATGTTACAAAAAATACAATTAAAAAAATTATTTTATAAAATTAAGAACTAGTAATGGTATGATATAATTAAGGATATTCTTAACTTTTATAGAAATACAGATACGATAATTTCAATTATATTTTCATCAAATCTTTAAGATATGGAACAATTCTAATATATTTGTTGCATAGGATGCATGAGATGCGAACAATTCTAATACTTTTGTTGCAAAATGGGCTTGGTTTTGTAGGATGATTAATTAGTTTATAGATGTTCTCGTATGATAATTTTTGAAATAAAAAATTTATTAAATTTAATAATATAAATGACCTATATCTTGAATTTGATTATTTGACTCGAGTTTTTTTTTAAAAAAAAAAAATTGAGAGTAACTTCTTACCATTTCCATTGTTAAATATTAATTTAATTAAGAATTTTAAGAGTAACTTCTTACCATTTTCATTGTTAAATATTAATTTAATTAAGAATTAGATTTTTTAAAAAAATCAACACGTATTAACTTAATAAATTAAATATATTTTCATCATAATATTATATAAACATATCATTCAATATATAATTGATTTTATATTTATCGTTAAAATATATTTTTTTATAAAAAATAGTTAGTGATGCCTAGATATTTTTTTGCATTCATTTTTTTTTTATTTTTTGTTTTGACCTATGTTATAGTAAGAGTCAATTCTATTATTGTTTAATTAAATAAAAAATTTATTCTAAAATACAAAGTTATTAGACATAATTAAGCGCATGGCTTATGTTACGAGAATAAATATTTTGATCTATATCTATTTTTTTAACTTAATATTAAATTATTGTTAATGATTTCTTGTTTATGTTTAATTGAAGTAGATAAACATTCGATGAAATAAAAGAATTATTCAAAGCAACAATGTCATTAATCATAATTGAATATATGACTAATATTACGAAATCAAATATTTTGATTTGTATTTATATCTTTATTTTTTTAATTTAGTTTTTTTATTATTTATGGCTTTTTTATATTTATTGACATGAATAATTTTTGATTTATTTAATTGTATATCTAAATAAACTATTTAATTTTTTATTAAGAATTTTTTTACAACAAAAAAAACATATTGAAAAAAATCTAAATATTCATTATTTGTTTTTTACTAAAAATGACTAAATGTGTAGTACGAGTGAAAAGCTAGTTCTACTTTTCTTTCCTTTGCCTCAAGGCAGACAAACAGCGACCTTTACCTTTTCTTTCCTTTTAATGATGCATTGGCAAAGGGATCGTTGGCATGTTTTTTTTTCTTTTTTTTCTTTGACCTTTTCTTTCCTTTTAATATTAATATTATCCTTTAATTTCTTTTTCTTTTTTCCATTCCGATACTCATTCGAGGCTTGTAAAATACCAATAGCAAACTGATTTAGTGCCTTGTAACACAGGATACGAAAGAAACCGATATGAATTATTTTCGCACATCAAAATCTCTTTTAAGACGTATTTTTGGACCTTGTAGTGATGAGTTCACAAGGTTATACCCATAGTTATATTTATTTTATATTTTCTTTGACTATTTTATGCTCTTTTTTTAATTTCTACAAAATTGCATACTTCATATATTGATTTCCCCATATTTAACTTCATAATAGATTTTCTGACCGGGTGAAAAACAGGCTCCCAAGATTTCCATTATACATTGAGGTCGTTCACGTGTACTTTCAGCCTCATTCAACAGTTTATATATATACATTTGTTTTTTAAGGGTTTTTCACGTTTTAACAAGTTTTATCTAGGTATACTAATTTACAATCCAAGGTACATGATGGATCCAATCAAAATTTTATTGAATATCAAAAATATGTTGGAGTTGCAACGATTGAAAATTATTATTATTAAATTCAACTCAATGAATTAATTTTAAAATTTCTTAATCTGAATTTTTATCCAATTTTAGTTTAAAATCAAATCATGTTGAAATTGCCTTAACATGAATCAATAAACTTGATGAATGACAAGTAAAAAACATAATTCGACTTCAGATTTTGTTTAATATTAAAAAAATTGACATGATGAGAACTTTATTTTTTTGTTAAAAAAATATTTTTTATTTAATTATATGATAACAAAAACATATGCTTGCAAAATGAAACACAAACCAGAAGTCAAGATATTTGTTCGAAACTGTGATAATTTTATAAAAAATAGATTAAAATAAATTATGAAAATTAATTCAAAATTCAAAATCAATTAAATATTGAAAGATAAAATTGAAAAAAAAACCAATAAAAAACCTAACATTAGAGGATAAAGCTAGAAAAAAATCAAATAAAAAATGATGAAAATTTAAAAAAAAATAAAAAAAATAAGAACAAAAGAATATGGTTAAGCCGAACAAGTTAGCATGGGTGGCCGTCAATAAACTTGATGGATGACAAGTAAAAAACATAATTCTACTTCAAATTTTGTTTAATATTAAGGAAATTGACATGATGATGAGAACTTTGTTTTTTTTGTTAAAAAATTATTTTTTGTATATAGGCATAATGGCCTAAGCTCACACGTTTAGGCATATTTGTTTTGTAAAAGATGGACAATATTTTATTTGTCCCTTATTTTTTTATATAAAAAAAAAACAAGCTACATGGCATCTTTTTATTGGAATCTAATCATCATTGTGATGGTTAAAAAATTAGAGGATGTATGTTTATTATCTAAAAATTTATTCTTCAGACCCAATAAAAAACCTAACATTAAAGGATGAAGCTAGAAAAAAATCAAATGAAAAATAATGAAAATTAAAAAAAAATCAAGAACAAAAAAATATGATTAAACCGAACAAGTTAGCATGGGTGGCCTAACATGTATGAATCTTAAAAAAAGCTAAGATATATAGGCATATTAGCCTAAGCTCACACGTTTAGGCATATTTTTTTTGTAAAAAATGGACAATATTTTATCTGTCCCTTATTTTTTTATAAAAAAAAAACAAGCTATATGACATCTTTTTATTGGAATCTAATCATCATTGTGATGGTTAAAAAATTAAAAGACCTATGTTTATTATCTAAAAATTTATTCTTCAGACCATTTTCATCTTAAAATATCTAATAAACACTTTTAAAACCACTCAAGACCAATTTATCAAGTCATAGAACCCCCAAAATAATCTAAAAGTACAAAATTAAACTGAAAAATATCTTTCTTGATATTGATTTTTTTCATACAAGATAAAGTCTAAAAGTCATTACCATTAAACTTCTCTTGTTGAATGAAATCCTTTACACCAAACTTGGCAACTTTGATTGTCGACAACTGATATTTTTATTATTATTATTTTTTAAAAGTTTTTTTTTTAAAAAAATATATAGGCATATTAGCCTAAGCTCACACGTTTAGGCATATTTTTTTTGTAAAAAATGGACAATATTTTATCTGTCCCTTATTTTTTTATAAAAAAAAAACAAGCTATATGACATCTTTTTATTGGAATCTAATCATCATTGTGATGGTTAAAAAATTAAAAGACCTATGTTTATTATCTAAAAATTTATTCTTCAGACCATTTTCATCTTAAAATATCTAATAAACACTTTTAAAACCACTCAAGACCAATTTATCAAGCCATAGAACCCCTAAAATAATCTAAAAGTACAAAATTAAACTGAAAAATATCTTTCTTGATGTTGATTTTTTTCATACAAGATAAAGTCTTAAAGTCATTATCATTAAACTTCTCTTGTCGAATGAAATCCTTTACACCAAACTTGGCAACTTTAGTTGTCGACAAATATTTTTTTATTATTATTGTTTTTTGAAAGTTTTTTTAAAAAAAAACCTCACAGATTTAAAATGACTAAATTAAAAGTTGTTATAAAGTAACTCATATATTTTCACTGCATTTTACTTTTCAATCCTCTGTCTTGTACTCTGATATTTTTTTTAATTTTACTAATTAAGCTATAAAATGATTAAATTAAAAAAAAATAATTTGAAAAGAAAATAGCTTCATTGCTGATATAAATAATGAAGCATCCTAACTTCATATTTTTTAATATACTAGGCAATAAACCACCATTTTTATTTTGTTATTTCTACACAATATATAAATAGCTTCATTGTTGGGATCATTAGTTGTCGACAAATATTTTTTTATTATTATTGTTTTTTGAAAGTTTTTTTAAAAAAAAACCTCACAGATTTAAAATGACTAAATTAAAAGTTGTTATAAAGTAACTCATATATTTTCACTGCATTTTACTTTTCAATCCTCTGTCTTGTACTCTGATATTTTTTTTAATTTTACTAATTAAGCTATAAAATGATTAAATTAAAAGAAAATAATTTGAAAAGAAAGTAGCTTCATTGTTGATATAAATAATGAAGCATCCTAACCTCATATTTTTTAGTATACCAGGCAATAAACCACCATTTTTATTTTGTTATTTCTACACAATATATAAATAGCTTCATTGTTGGGATCATTAGTTGCCAAACTAAACTTGAAGAGCTTACGAGTCTTTTTCACCTCAACAATAGAAGAATGAAAAGTTGCAGTAGTTCTTATGAAAGAGAAGACCAGAAGATGATTACTTCAATGATTTCTTAGAGAGACGTCAAGAGGAAAATAATTCAAAGTTACAAGGTAAACCATCATTTCATCTAGAGAATATTAATCATATTTCTTTTTTTTTTACCAAATAAATATTGTGTATGTGTGGTGTGAGGTCTGTGATAAAAATTTGAAAATGGTATAATGAATATGTTGAAAGTTGGGATAAATAAACAATAATTAAATGTGAA